GTGTCCGCCCTCGCGCCTGCGGGCAGCTGGGCGGCCGGCGGGGGCGTGTCTGTGTCAAACGTGCGCGTCCCGCTGAGGCAGGGCGTGCGTCCAGGCTCCCGCAGCGCGGACTGGGCTCCGTCCCTTCTGCACATGCGTTCTTATCCGCGGCGGATCCGCGCGCGGCCCCGACCCGGGGGCGAGCGCGCCTGGCTCGGTCGGCCAAGAGGGGGTATCTGGGCCCGCTGGGACCGGGGCGAGACCCCCCACAGTCCTCAGTGCAGGGGTAGGGGCTGCCGACCGGTCGCCCCCGCCTGCCCCGCCTACAGTTTCACTGGCGAGGGGAGGAGGTAGCAGTACAATTGGTTCCCATGGCGACGTATAGACAAGCTCGGGATGACAGTAGAGATGGAACTCGAACCCAGGACCAGAAGACCCGGCCCATAGCTCATCCTTCAGCTCAGACTCCACGCCTTCCGCGCTCCAGCCCCTCCCCCACCTCTCCCCCCGCCAAAGATCGTCTCTGGCGAGGGCCTTGACACACGCAGACGCAGGCACACGCACCTACAGGCATGGCATTTTCTGAAAGTGGCCTCGGATGAGGGAAGGGGTCGACTCGTGTCCGCTCCGCCCGCGCCGCTGTCCTCCACCCCAGGCCTCAGCCAGAGCAATGGAATTAACCGAGAGGGACAGAGTCTGACCTAGGTGCGCCAGGGGTGGGGGAGGAGTTCGCAATCGCCGGCATTTCAGCCTGTCGGGCTCTGGACCCCCAGCACCCTCCGCGCAGCGCCCCCAGCCCCCCCACCGCCGCGTTCACACGCCGCCTCTCGCTGCCGCAGCCGCCGAGCTAATCAGCACAACATCCACCTATCGATCGTGGGCTGGTTGCCAGGCGGGCCGGCACCGTGCCCGTGGCGGCTGCGGGGCACCGGGCGGGCAGAGCACAGCTGCGGGGGAGGGGGCATCCCTTCCCCCGGCTCCACCCAGGGCACCGTACAGAAAGACGGCCCGGTTGGGCTCGGGGGGATGACAGCCTGGCCTGCCAGGGGTGGGAGACAGTGTGGGGCTGAGAGCAAAGGGGGCCCCCCTCCTCTGCCCCACCCCCTCCTCCTTATAAAAGCGGAGAACAAAGAGGCCGCCGGGGAAGGAGGCTTTGATCTGACCCCACCTTCCCCGTTCCAGGCCGGGCACCGCCCAGACTGCCCTTGGGAGGAGGGACGCCAGGATCCCAGAGACCCAGGTATCCTGCAGCCCAGGTGCTGCCTTCCCAGTAGCCCTCCTCGGTGCCACCGCGGCTTGGGCAGTGCCCCAAGTGGGTGGGCTGTCAGGGCATCAGCCCCTCCTCAGCACAGGAAGCCAGCTAGGGCGATGGGAGAGGGTGCCAAGCTCCACAGCTGCTGCTGGCGCCCACGCCACACTGCCCAGAGGGGTGCCCACTGAGGCCTGGCAGGGACGGCTTGGGCACAGCTGGCATGGAGGTCAGGCCAAGCCAAGCTGAGAGCAGAGGCCGCAGGGGGTCCTGGTGTGAGGGAAGTGGCCGGAGGGCAGTCGGTTGGCGAGAGCAACGAAAAGATGGGTGGTTTATTGAGTTTGGTCCAGACACTTATAAAAATACAAATCGGTATGAAACTCGGCCTCATGGCCAGTCTGTCTTCACAGAAGACAAATGAGTGACCCCCTGGGAGGGAAAGGTGCTGCCCCAGGGAAGGGGCCCGCAGGGCACTGGGCACAGACGGCAGGCCTGGGCTGCTTCCTTGCCCTGGTCCAGCAATCCGCCAGCCCCAGGTCTTCGGCCCCAGTGGGCTCAAGGAGTCAACCCCACCGAATCCCAGTCTTCCTGGGGGATGGGGCGGGACCATCGAAGCGGCTGAGGGAAACCCTGCGTTTGTCCTGCCTGGGCTCCAGGTGCCCAGGGCTGTCTGCAGCTCCCCGTAGGTCGACTTCCGCCTGGGACAAGGGGCCAGCACCTGCGAGGGCCAGCTCCGGTCCACTGACCTCTTCCATCGCTCCACCATCTTGTCTGTCTGACTCGGCACTCCCAGCTCAGGTGGCGGGGCTCCTCCTCCCCAGAGTCTTGCGGGGTGCAGGGTCCCAGGGTGGCGGGAAGGGTCCGCTTGGCTCAGAGAACTCGCAGGAGACGCAGAATTGGGAGCAGCAGCAGCAGCAGGAGACAGAGGGGGCTGGGAGGACCCCCGCCTTGCCACCCCGATGTGCCACTCTCTCCAGGGCTCCCAACGGGATGGGCCGACTCAGACTCTGTAGGGGGAGGGGGGCACCGATGGGTCCTCCATTCCGGCAGACTCCGTCCTCCCTATTTGCTGTTCACCCCCTCCTATTCTCCAGGGTCCCAAACCAGCCGCTCCCTTTTCACAATTTACCACCTCAACCTCTCCAAGCCCCAACTTCCGAGTCTCCCCAGATTGCCCCTAGAGACCACCAGTTCAGCTAAGGCCTTTGAGGGCCTCGTCCCTGTACATGTCCTTCTGCGGGCTCGGCACACAGGGCTGCAGTGGAAGCTTCCACAGGCTCAACCAGGGAGAAGAAGCCTCGCCTGAACCCCTCAATCTGATGCTCCTAGATTCTCCCCACACCTCCCCCATTCCCAAGGGCCCCTGTGAGCCAGAAGAGCTGCCCCCCATGTCCCCCCACTTACTGCTCTCCTTGCAGCAGACGGACACCTGGAGCCTCAAGCACTGGCCGGCACTGCCCGGCATGGGCACCGCTGGGATCGGGAGGGAGACGTTAGCACAGGCCACTTTGCAGATTCTGTTTCAGACCTGCCCGGCCTCTCTCCGGCCCAGCTCCCTGGAGAGCTGCTTCCTTTTGGGCTGGATCCGGATGCCAGGCCCCATGCATGGCCCTGCTCATGCCCTCGTCCCCGTTCCTGGCTCCCCTAACTCCCTCCTCTCTACAGACTCACTCTAGACGCAGAGAGTGAGCCCTGGACTCGGCTTCCCCCACTCCCTGGCCAAAGCCCCACACCCCCCAGGCCTGGCCTTCGCTCCCAGTGCCATCCCTGCCCCTCCCCTCCGGCTCTCAGCCTTGACTGGTGGCACCAGCAGGGGCCCCACTCCCCCCAGCTCCCCCAGGAGGTGGCCATTGTCCCTCCTCACTCACAGATGTAGTAGTATGTCTCTCCAGGTAAGAACTCGAAGCCAAGGGAGAAGGGTGTGAAGCGCTGAATCTTCTCTGAGAATTTAACGGGGCCGAAGGGGGCAAAGGGGCGGGCGCACTCCCAGCGCTTGAAGGCGCCTGTGCCCTGCGCCTGGCAGGCCTCGTAGCCCGGCCGGTCCACCATGTACAAGGCGAATGTCTCGGGGCCTGCGGGGGGCCCTGGCCCGTCATAGTGCGGGCAGAAGATGTCCAGGTAGTCGTTGAGGCCCAGCTCCACCACCGCGTCTCCTCGAAGCAGCCTGTGGGCACAAGGTGGGTGTGGGCTGACGGCAACATGGCACAGTACAGCGGGGTCAAGGCCCCTGTCAGCCTCTCCCCACGCTCTGCAGAGGGAGCAGCTCAGCCAGGCCCACGCTCCCCAGACTGATGGCTCTTGAGAGACAAAGGGAGTGTAAAAAATGGATGAGGCGACAGGTTCAGAGAGGTTAACCTCGGGGCTCAAACGTGAGAAGGCCTCTCACCACACCCCACCTTTTGGGTAGGAGCTGCCACCTATCTCTGTGGCCCCAGCAACCAAGCAGGGCCCGGCACAACACCCGCGCTTGGTCAATGTGGGGTGATGTCTGCTTGGAGGAAGCTGGAGCAGAGGCAAGGGGTAGAGACCCCGGCCCGCAGGGCAGTTCGCCGCTGAGGTGGAACCTGGGAACAGCAGCCTCCTCAGAAGACGCAGAGACCTCAGGCCAACACTGAAAAGAACGCCAGGCCAGCACACAGAGCCGGGCCAGGGGTGGGGGGTGGGGGGCGGTTGTTCACCGTGGAGGCCACCTAGGGGAGCAGTGCAGGTGGGAGGAGCTGGAACAGGCTGCCTCCCCACCTCAAGCATCAAATACAGTATGAACCACTTGCCCCCTCCCCACCCGACGCACAGCCCAGCTTGACCTAGGAAAGGCCTCCCACTTGTCCCGCAGTGGGTGGTCCATGGGCCACCAGCATCAGGAGTTCTGATTAGAAATGCAGATTCCTGGGTTCAGCTCAGACCTACTAGAACACAAGCCAGACCTTTGTACGTTTTGTTCCACAGCCTCCTTAGTGCCTGGGAAAGTGTCCTGCACAAGGACAGCCCCCAACAAACATCTGTGGATTGAATGAATGAACCACAAACCTCAGGGTTGGGGGCTAGGAACCTGAATTTTTATCAAGTCCTCCAAGTGATTCAGAGGCAATGGTCTGGAACAGAGAGAGGAATTCCTAGCCAAGCAGGAGGACAACAGCTCTGATCACTGGGTATGGGCTGTAATGACCTGCCCCTGCTGCCTGCCCTCCCCAGGGGGCCTCTGGGCTCCCAGAGGGCAGAGGCCGGGTCTACTCATCTCTCTAATCCCCACACCCTAGCACAGGTCTTGGTACACAGTGCGTGCTTGATAAATGCTAGCGAGTGAATAAATGCAGAGTCACAGATTGTCTCAAGTAGAAAATCAGACAGGAAAACAGATGGAGGAAGCAGAGAGGCAGCGGGAATTGGGGAGAGGGATGGAAATAGTCAAAAATACGGAGGTCCAAAGGCAGGCAGCTCGCGGAGAGAGAAAGAAATAATAATTTATATCTGTACAGCCTTCTCCTCTTTCAAACGCATGACCTCAGTTCGCCCGCCCGATTTCCCAAGGCACCGGGTATTGTTAGCCCATTTTACAGATGAGATAACTGAGGTTAGGGAGGTCAACCAACTTGCCCAAAGGTGATTCAACTGGAAAGGTGGGGCCGAGGCTGGAGAGAAACAGAAGGGCCGATAACGACCGAGATAGAAACAGATGCCGAACGAAATCAGGAGAGGGAGAGCCGGAGGGGGAGGCCCAGCGAGCCTGAGAGGGACCCGCGCTCTTTCACAGGAGTAAAGCCCCCTCCCTGGCTCGCAAGCCCGGCCGCCCCAGCTCCGGCCGGAGGGAGGGTGGGGATCACCGCGAGCAGCGAGGGGGGCGGGGCTCGGAGCGCCGGCCGAGGCCCCTCAGCTCCCGGCCCCCAGACCCC